AAATATGATGAATTTAATTTTCAAAAAATGAGTAACTGATTTGATGCGAATAAAATGGTACATTACAATGAATTATCATTTAAAACATCAAGCCTAATTTTATTATTTTATTAATTAATTGAAATTTTGTAACACTGTCTGTTGTGTAAAAAATGGTGTTTTATTTTTGAAATGATACAAGTAGTATGAACAAGTTTGGACCATAGAAACATGAAACATAACTAATCTGATGATAATTCGATATACTGAGTTGATTAATAGTAAATCATTTGACTCATTGATATTTTTAAAATGAATAAATATTATTATTTTATCGTGGAAACTTAGAGATGTTACCGATGGTAGTCGAAAATTTGTTCAATATGACACTAAATCTTGTCTTGGTCATCCTTCCATGTTTGAGTATTGTTTAAGTGCTCAGTTGAAATTTTCAATAACTTCAGTGAATAATATGGAATCATATAATTATCGAAAACTGATCTTCTATTGTTTCTAGAACGTAGGAAATCTTTGTCTTTTCAACCATTGAGGACTATAAAATCAATCTTATCAGTATAAAAAATGTGATTATGGAGTTAACAACCTTAATCATCATTATGTTAACTCTAATAGCAAATTGTATGGTTCATATTTCTATCCCCCTAACCGCATAAAATACCGGAACGTAAAAACAATGTAATGTTTTCGTATATCTGAGGTCCACTTTTTTCTGTGGTAAAATATAAAGTTCCGGATTGAATTTATAACACTGCTAATATAAATTACTTAAATTTTTCCAAGATTTTATAAACAAAAATATTGAAAAACTCGAAAAAAAATACACTATTCCAAGAGAGCTATAAATTATAACTAGGTTGGATTCGATCAAGATCTTCTAGTTGTATGTTGTTTCTAACAAGTTAGTGTATGTACATATTTCAAAATATTAATTATTGAATATCTACTATTTCATATGAAAGAGTTAGTAAACTAAGAGCACGTTTATACATTCACTTCTAAGTGACATTGGTAAAATCTGTGGGAAAATGTCCTTTTCTTTTTTGAAGATTAATTAGTTTTCTTTACAGATATTAGAATTAATACAATGACCTAATTCAATTAATCATTATTGAAATTTATGGTAAGTTTGTTGAGGGAATTCTGCTATCTTTAAATAAAACAAAACAAAATATATTCTAATATATAATAGTTTCAAAGTTAATAATTTATCCTTTTGTTAGTACGACCAATTTTCTTTGTTGTTAGAACTGAATATAAGCATTGAACTTCTTCAAGAAATTATCACGTTTTAAAATCCTAAACTGCTCTGGAAACGTGACATTCGTATAGCAAATTTGTATAGTAAATGAGATATAAATGTAAAATATAATGTGTAAAACTATGTAATCAACTGACGAGTTATTATTGATTTTTTCAGTTATGAAAAATCCTGTGTTAGATTAACTTGAATGATTAACTTTTTTAATGTAGTCCATTTAGGTGAAAAACTGTTTAACTGTTTCGTTACGGTCATCGGAGTTATATATCTGAGGTATATATATGATAAAAGTATGTAACGTATTTATGGTTGTCTTGAGAAACCTAAAGTAAAAATCTAAGTTTATTCTTAGTTATTAATTCAGTATGCAGAGATATTTGCAAGTCAATGAAAGTTGTAGAATACTTTATCTGGTAATGAATGTCAATACATAGGTCATGATAATTAAAAATTCAGATTGTTTCAGTAAATTCAGATAAGTAGACATGATCTTTATTTTAAAATGATGTTTTTTCTGCTTAAAAAAGCGCAGATAGTGTTTAGTCTTTTAGATCGTGAGATTAAAATCACTTTAAACGTTTCTTTCTACGGACTAATTGTCTCTCCATGTATCATATCTCTATATTCATTCACCTTCACATATTATTACCATTGAAGTAACTGCTTTTATGATTTTGTTGTTCATCTTGTTGTGCTAATGTGGTATGACGACTTGGACCGATTCATATATGTACCTAGTTCTACATTATAGCTGACTGGATATTTTAGGTCGCCAAAATAATCTTTTTGATATTCTTTTTGCCAACATTAATGGAAAATTTTACTTATAACTTCATTTGGTTGTATAAAATGTGCACCCTCTTTAAGGTGTATCTAAGTGAAAAATGTTACACTCAATTAAGTCATCATGCAAGTCTACAGAACCAACATAATAAAGTGTAAACATAGTTTACGTTACCCACTGGAGTCATTTAGTCGTCCACTGAGAAGTACTAAGGACTGGATAATTAATTTGTCTTTATTTGTGACTCCACAGATGTATTCAACTATGGATTGATTATTGGTCTAAAACTCAAACATTAAGCTCTTAGTGTAAAAGGATTATTTTTCGATCAATAAATCATAATACTACGGTCCAGATTTGTAAATTGAAATTTTTAAATGATACAGGATATACTACTTTATACTAAAGTTTTATTTGGAATATCACTCAATGGATTTGGCTAATTTATTCCTTTGTTCTTCAATGTAAACCTTATTGACTGCTCGTTTTTTTCAGTCCGACTTGGTATCATAAATTTCGTTCCTAATATTTCAGTAATATGTTTTCGTCAAATTAATGTTTTTGTTAGTATATATATGCAAACTAATACCCGATAATATATAAAGTCAGAAGACTTAACGTCAGTATCTAAACTTCGATTTTTCAAAAAAGGGGGTTGTTATATCCCGACGAGAATAATGAATGGTAACTTTTGAGAACTACTTATGGACCAATACGATACATATATTTCTATTGTATAATTGTTATGTAGCTAAACTATTCATATTCATGTTCCTTTTATTATAAGTTCTATTTTGACTCATAGACTATTATTGTACGATTTACCATTGTTGAGTTATGCCCAATCTACCAGTTACTGTCTCCCACATTCACAGCCACATTTGGATAAATCTTGTCCAAATATTATTTTCTATTCTATGGTACGATGTGGTCTGTTTGGTTTGTATGTAAACCCAGTATGTATGAAATACATGATTGATATCGGAGAGGCTGATATTGGTGTTGTGAACTTAACGGGAAGGTCTAGTCAGGAAGAAGGACCGATAAGCATTCTAGATTGCTTGTACGGTTTTATGCGTCATTGTTCTAGTCGATAAATCATCGTTCTCTAATTGGCGGTATCAGTACGTTGTATATTAATAGGGCACAAGCCCACAAGTTATAACAATTTAATTTTTAATCTTATTACTGTATACATATTTCTAAAAGATTAGTCGAGTTTAGTTGATGAATACAACCTATGTCGAAAATAATTCTCATGTATATATGAAGCCGAAATAAACTATAATCATCTACAACTCTATATTATTTAAAGTAATAGTTTATCATGGATAATGAAACCTTAATGTATACAGCAGAATAAATATATATTTTTGTAAAAAAATATACCGTACTTCTCAATTACTTTAAGTATAGACTTCGGTTGGTGTTCTAACTGAAATCTGTAATATCAAAAATATCATAAATTTTCTGTATAAAATGTTTGTTAGTACGTTTAAACTGATAATACAATGAACATCTAAAAAAATATTAGACATTAATACAATGTCGGATTAATCAGATGGATTATTAACATGGATGAATTTGTGACTAAAGAATTTTTGAATTTTTACTAAAAATTTGTTTTAATGTATCCAAAATTTGGAATGAGAACAGTTTTCAGATGTAGTTTAAACTAATATCCTTAAAAATGTATTAGATAGATGAAGGAGGCTGACAGAAATTCTTGGACATAGGTTTTATCTTAGATGATAGAAATTAACGAAACATACCTAAAATTATGAAGAATAATGTTTTTCTCTACAGCTTCAAAACTTTATCATTTACAACGATACATTGCTTGAGAACGATAACTATAATAATAACCTATTTATAGAATTTTGATTGATTGATTTACCTGTTACTAAACAGAGTGTTTCACGATGTTGGATTATGTTTTGTCATTTAGGTAAGTTAATTGATAAGATTTAATTAGCACTGTGAACCTGACGGCTTGATAGATTAATGTACTTTTACACTTGAAGCTATAGTCTGATCCTTATGATTTTTTGTAGATAAACGATGAAACAAACTTTTATGGTAAATAATATGCTACAAGCCGTCAAAAAGATTATCATTTCTATCAGCTTAATATCATACTTGCTTACAACTAAGTAGGAAATAGAAATTATTATATCTATACTTACTGTCATTTCATTCATTTGTTTCTGTCTGTAAGACTTTAAAGGGTTCCTTGATTTCGAGTTCAGTCCATTCACAAACTAGTGTTAGCTGGCGACCACCATATATAAGATGAACTACTTAAAACTGTAACATATTTAATTGTGTGGAGAGTGAAATAATTATAATATATCCTATAAATGATCACACTAGAATAATCTATCATTCGATATGCTTTTAAAATACTGTATACTTTAACACTTTAACATAATTTAAAATACAGTTGGTATTGTTTACATGAATTTTCCCATTCATTTGACGAGCCTCAAATAGGACGAAACACGCGTCCTGGATTCAACTGCTAGCCATTATCCCTCTTTGCATATAATTTAAAATGACTAACGTTAAGCGTCATCTTTCAAAAGACACATGAACTGAATAATAGAATTTACAATGTCAAACTTGTAATGTAATTACTTAGTTATTATTGATAATTTACAAAGAATTAATTATTTTTATATTATTCAGTTTCACTTACTGTACAGGAACAATACAAGGTAATAGAAAAAGAAACCCACTTTAATAAATAAAGAAATAAGTACAAAAGAAGAAAAGAATGACATCACATTGATCTAAAAAATACTACATGTAAACATAACACCTTCATTTTGCCTGTATTTGACTGGGAGGATGTTCCATTTATGTGAAAAGTGATGAAAAATGTCTAGAAATGATTTAAAAATTAAAATAAAAATATACAAATTAATTGAAAACAGTTGAAATTAGTAAGTGTATAATTTAAACAAAAGAATTCTCTGCATATGCATCTGCTAATTTTGGTTTTCGGCTATTACATGAATTCTCTGTTAATTTTGAAAGTGCTGCTAATTCTTTATCACTTTCAAATTCTTCATATTTTTCAATCCATCCATTGGAATTTTGTCCAATATCATAAGATGATGGAATTGTTTGCATAGATGGATATGATATCTGGCATGTATTCGTTAAACCTATTGGACCATAATAAGAAGAGGGTGCTTCAATGATTGAACCTGGCGCCAAAACTCTATTTCCTGTTGATAATCCAGATAGTGTAAAAGGCATGGATACTGTTGAATGTATTGCAACTTTTGAATTATCGAAATTACTTATTTCATTGTTTGATACCTGTGATTTTCTATTCAAGTATGGACTAAATAAGAGATGATTGGTTGTTTTCTGTTCATTATAATATGAATCAAAATTTATATCTGGCTGGATCGGTATAAATTGAGAATGATTATGTGGTGAACTTGGATAAGCACATAATGCTGTATATCCAACTATAATCAAAAATATAAATAGTTGAGAAAAATAGCTGGTTAGTTAAAGGTTCATTTCAAACTTTTATTGTGAAATAAATTCATTTGTTTCAAAATGGTTCATCTCATTGAAGTCTAAAATGAAGTCGTGTTATGGAATAAATTGTCATTAATAGGAGAACCACTTAAAATATAGGATGTTAAGTAATTATTTAGTTCTTGTTTATTTCTCCAAAATAGTGTGGAGTCGGAACATCACATGAAATATAAACATAAACCTTTGGGGGTTACATCAAGTATGATGCTTTTTAGCTCAGAAGTTAAGTACAATAGTCTCAATCTTATATTCTTAGTTAATTCATAGTGCGACACCATCGGTTTTTTACTGTGCGACTTCTGATTTGGTCATTTTGATAAGTCATGACGTCTCATTAAACAACATTGGTTATCAAAACAATGTCAGTTTTAAAGGAAAATAACAATCAGCTTATGCAAGAATATCCACCAAATTATGTATCTATAATTAATAACGCTATATTTTCTTCATGCTTATCTGAAAATCAGACACTAGTATTAACTCACATTATACTTCTATTATCTAGATATTCAAAGAGAAGATGAAAGAAAGGAATGTTGGTATATTTACTCTCTTAATAAGATATGTTAAGTATTTTTAAGATGCAAATCGGACAAATACGTTTTATATACAAATTGTTATAATAACTATAGAATACATATTTCAAAATACACCTACTTACATTAAAATAGACAATCGGTAAAAAGTTTATTTTAGTAAGAATTCGAAAATCTAAATGAAGAGAGATGGTAGTATCTAGATGAGATCCGCAAAGTTACAGTACCTTAGTTTTCAGTATTCGAATTGAAGTTTTACTCATACCTACATGTAACAGAGTGCAACTTTTAAACATCCTTTATATCTTCAAAGAATTTAACATCAAAATATTTATATTTAACTAAATTTTTTATTGTTTCCTTCTTCTAATAAACTTGGTTTTTTTGCTACTGATTATGTTTCCCTTCTGAAGCTGAAAAATTCTAAATTTAAATTATATATGTTTTTTTATCAGAATGAGTTTTGTGGAGATTTTAGTAAATTTCACAGGTTGAAATCATGAGTCAATTGAAGCCAGAACACTATGGAAAACCTGGAAGCACTGGACGGCCGTTTCGTCCTAGTATGGGGCTCCTCAGTAGTGCGCATCCACGATCCCGCTCCTCGCGAGATTTGAACCCAGGACCTATCTGTCTCGCGCCAGGCGCTTAACCAATCCAATTAGTGGATTGGTTGAAGTTAGACATTAAAACCATTGGATGCCGGCTCAGTGGTCTAGTTGGTTAAGCGCCTAGCGCGAGACAGATAGGTCCTGGGTTCAAATCTCGCGAGAGGTGGGATCGTGGATGCGCACTGCTGAGGAGCCTCATACTAGGACGAAACGGCCGTCCACTGTTTTCAGGCTTTCCATAGTGTTCTAGCTTCAAATGACTCATGATTTCAACCAGTGAAATAACATTACTATTAATATGAATTTTCCATAAAAATTTCTTTTTAATTGTGTTAATTATTAATTTATTATTTCAAAAGAATACATTCATATGACCTTAATTTATATTGACTTAAACAATACCGATCATTAATTCATTTAATGAATATTATATATCTATTTATAGTTTGTTAAAGGTTGACAAACAAAATGTCATTTTTATAAACAAACGAGGCTATTTGTTGATCAGCTATTCTCTTTGTATTTATATACATGTTATCAATTTAAGATAATTGTTCTATATTATTATTATTACTATTATTTAGATTAATGAGTAATTCCTTTATGAATAACTGATTTTCTGTTATGTTTTTGCATATGGTGTCTTATTTGATATATTCTTCAAATATGGATGTCTATCTCATCGAAGAAACAAAATATATTTGAATGAATAGTTTTACATCATAATTTTTGTTTTATCGTTTGGTAAATTTTCATTGATCGTTGACTTTACTGTGTTATGAAATGTATTTTAAAAAGTTGAAAATTTGTCTAATAGGTCAGTAACAGTTAACATAGGATGCATTAATGTTGAGGAGTTGCATACTAGGATGAAACGACTGTCCAGTGCTTCCAAGTTTTCAATTATGTTTTTGATTGAGATTATCAAACAATTGATGTTAGACCACCATTGAAAACTTGGAAGCACTGGACGGTCGTTTCGTCCTATTCAGGGACTCCTCAGCAGTGCGTATCCACCTTCCCCCATATACTAATTGAACCCATGACCTATCAGTCTCGGACGCATGCTAAACCTCTAGACCACTGAGCAGGCATCCAACGGTGTTAATGTCTAACCTCAACCAGTCCACGAAATTGCGCGACCATCTTCCATTGTACTGAGGTAGATACTTGTCTCTGACCGACACGGATTAGCTCCACTGTCAAGGTTTCTCACTGTCATTGGTCGGTTCATGATCTTAATAAATAAATATTTTTTTCACTAACATGTTACTTAAAATGCTATTAAAACAATTCCACTACATACCATCAAACTGTCGAACATTAACTACTGAATCGTCTGAAAATGTACGAGTCAAGCGTTGATTCGATGAATGTTGTTTCTGAAAATAATCTGGACGAAAGGATTGTATTTCATTCTACAAATAAACAGAAATATTCAAGATATTTAAAAGGTTTGTAAAGTTGTCGTCATGAAAAATTATGCACTATATTTCTTTTCTTATTAAAAAACGAATACATCATTTTTAAACACTTGATGTCAGTTTTATTAGATTCTAAAAGCCGTCAAAAAGATTATCATTTCTATCAGCTTAATATCATACTTGCTTACAACTAAGTAGGAAATAGAAATTATTATATCTATACTTACTTTCATTTCATTCATTTGTTTCTGTCTGTAAGACTTTAAAGGGTTCCTTATTTCGAGTTCAGTTCATTCACAAACTAGTGTTAGCTGGCGACCACCATAAATATGATGAACTACATAAAACTGTAACACTTATATTTAATTGTGTGGAGAGTGTAACGGTTACCTACCAATAAATCTCAAGGACGATTCCTCCTCAGTAATATAGATGTATCAATTTTAGAAAAAGATTTGAAAGAACTGGTTTTAATTCTACATAAAGTTAAAGATGCTGAATACTATCGGTTTGCAAACTCAAAAAATATAATGTTTAGTAGCTCTTGAGTTTCACTGATTGTCTAAGTAACTTTAGCTTAGATATAAAATTAACTTCGACATAAAGTTTTATCAGTCTATTTTTCCTAAGATATAATTTTGTTTGGAAAATTTAATATAATAACTTTGAAGTAACGATCAATTGATTGATTCACAAGAAATTTCCTTGTTTACTCGAGTGCAATACCTGATTATAGAATCTTAGACGCTTGTTTTAGCAATATTTAATATGTATTCTTATCATATCAGTATGAAGTTTGTGCAAAGATATCCAGCAGTTGCATTTCTTACTGTTAAGTTATCATGACAATAGAATCAAAGCTTCTGATGTTTCCCAATAAAATAACTTCTTAATTTATTCTAACCTTTTTGTTCGCGTAACATAAAGAGGGTATCCATCTATTTTATCTATTATCAGGATATAATAAATTAATACACAAATTTTCACATGATTGTTTAACTAAATTTGAGCTTGAGATATGTTCCAATGTTTTGATCCTTAGACAATGAGGCGTTTGCAATCATTAAGTAACATATGAAATCAATATGGCTGTCAAAAACTGTAGTAATTACTAGTCAATAAGTGTTGGTGTTTATGAAACACACTAAACTAGCAAAGCACTATGATTAGTCGAATAATAACTTAACTTTTAAAATGATTTCAAAATGCATTAATTATACATGATGACTAAAAACTGTTAAATATCAATTCTTTAAATTAATAACATACCCATTTGAAACGTGTCTTGTCATCCCTACAAGTCCATGTTTGATCGACTTGTCCTCCAGTAACTGATGGGACGCAATCTGAATATGAAAACAATCAGAACATGGATACTAGGTAGCTCAATATATATAAACTGTAAAACTAAAGTGACATAAAATATTAACAATTAGAGTTTAAACAAGTATTTATCGAAATTTTATGTTTCGAAGTCATTTGTATCTAATATAAATTTCGTTGATAAGTCGTTTTTCTAAGACTTGGAAACGATTTATATCAGTAGAGGAATTTTCAAATTAGTTATTAATAGTCGAATTCACGAGTCTATCTAAGCTAGATGATCACTAAAAACCTGAAAGCACTGGACGGTCGTACTAGTTACTAATAAAGGGTTACTTATACCCACATATTATTGACACTCACAGATGTGTAAGACGATTACCGATATTCTAATCAGTGATAAATAAATATTCACTATTTCCTAATTTCATTCTTCATTGGCTATTATGAAAGGAAACAGAAGATCAGAATAAACGTAGTGACGTTTCATCAACCATAATCACTTTTAATCTCAAGTCATTAAGTCTATAATATATTTGAATTTTAGACTGTTTTATTAATACAGGTCCGAATAATCATAGATTTCCCTTTTGATGCAACATTTGATTCTGTTTTCATAGTTGGTAGAAGTAGTTACAACTCTTTACATCCTTATTGCTACTAACGTCGAATTATTAGAAGTGTGACTTTCAGTTGGCTCCACTGTAAAGTACTGTCAAAATCCCTTATATTCATGATAATGTTAATAAATCTTGTTAAAGAGTTAAAGAACATCGGTAACTCATAACTTTAAGGGATCTTTCAAATTATTAATTCTGTTTAAGCTGTTAGTAACATTGAACTTTCCACATAACTAAACTCCATTGGTCATAACTTTACACTAGAATTTCAGTAACTCATCTAGATTGCTGCTAAGTTCCGCTTGGGTACTACTATATATTACTATCAAGACTCTTTTTATTTCCAGAAAACTAAGATGATTCGATTGGTGCATGTTGTGTTGTATAGAAGAATCTTGTTTTTTCATTTGTGTATGTACAGCAGCAGTAGGTCTTACCATACACAAAGGGGAAAACAAGATTCTCCGATACAACACAACATGCATCAATCAAATCACATTTGACGGAGAAGATTGGAAGATGTAAAAACCTTTACATATCTGGGGAGCATCATTATTGAACACTGTAAATCTGATGCAAATGTGAAGGCGCGGATTGGCAAGGCAAGAGCAGCATATTTACAATTGAAGAACATCTGAAACTAAAAACAACTGTCAACTAACACAAAAGTCAGAATTTTTAATACAAATGTCAAGACAGTTCTACTGTATGGGACAGAAACCTGGAGAACTACGAAAGCCATCATCCAGAAGGTGCAAGTGTTTATCAACAGCTGTCTACGCAAAATACTTCGGATCCGTTGACCAGACACTATCAGCAACAACCTATTACGAAAGAGAACAAACGAGATTCCAGCGGAAAAATAAATCGGGAAGAAGCGCTGGAAGTGGATAGAACACATATTGATGAAAGCACCCAACTGCGTCACAAGACAAGCCCTCACATGGAATCCTGAAGGCCAAAGGAAAAGAGGAAGACCAAAGAACACATTACGCCGGGAAATGGAGATAGACATAAGAAAAATGAACAACAATTAGATAGAACTAGAAAGAAGGCCCATGACACCGTGGGTTGGAGAATGCTGGTCTATACTCCATTGGGAATAACAGGTGTAAGTAACTAATATAATACGATCAAACGATAAATATCATTATAAAGAGAAAAAAGCAACATGAAAATACACATTGATTACCTGGTAGACATGCTTTTAAAAACACTTCAGCTTGTGTATTTCTACTTCTTATTAATTCTTTTTCATGATTATCTCTATTTCTTGTATTGAATTCACTATAATCATTTATAATGAAATCATTATGTGTACTATTTGTACTGATTTTATTATTATTACTATTACCATTATTCATTGTACTATTATTATTATTATTCGTAGTATTTTCTAGAATTTGTATTGATCTTTTTAATTCATCAACGTTTTCTTGTTTTGATAATTTTCTAGAATATTTATTAATACATAAACACCAATGATTTGAATTTATATTATTTTCATTTAAATAATTTTGTTTTAATGTTTTATTTAATTTTGTTGAGGAATATGCTGTTGAATGAATAAATAATTGTTTATTATTATTATTATTAATGGTTTAACTGATTGTTTACGGCAATGAAATACACCAAATAATATTAAAAAGATAATTAATAATAATAATATAGTACCAATAATTAATGGAATAATTAATTTATTCATAGTCATTCGATTATCGGATAAATAATCAATATTACCAAATAGATTATTATTATTATTATTTAATAAATCATTATTTGATATACTAAATGATTTCATTTGTGATTCTGTAGTCCATACAAGTTTTACTGTACGTGAATTATTTAATGAATATGGTGTGCCTAAATCACGAGCAATGATAGTAAGACTTAATGTAAATGAATGTAATTCATGTTGACGATTTGTTATTAAATTTTCTGATGAAATTAAATTACTATCAGTTAAATGATTTGATGTTCTACCATTTATAGCATATTGATTAGATGTAATTAATTTAGTCATTAAAGAATGTTGTATTGTTTCACGAAAATAACAAACACCAGTTGTTGAATCAATTTCTACTATTCCATAACCATTATTATCTAAAGAATATCTAACTAATGAATTATCACAACATCAGGATCATGTGCTTTTGCTGTGAATAATGTAGTACCAGCTGTAGTCATTGAAGAACCAGGTTCAATATGAAATTCTTGACCATTTAATGGTGTTTCAAATATTGGTGGATTATCATTCACATCTAATACTGTAATAATTATTGTAGCTGTAGCTGTATACTGATGTTTCCATTTGTTAACTAAATATGGATTGTTTTGTGATGATTTAACTGATTTTAGTATATCATCAATTGCAAAAGCTCGAAATTCATAATGAGCTCGAATTTCACGATCCAAATGTTTATTAAGACGTATATCTCCATTGCGTGAATTAATTGAAAATATCTTACCATCACCTTCATTTTCTAATTGATAAGTTATAGATGATGTTCCATGTAAATTTCCAAAATTAGTTTTTTGTAATTTTACAGGGTTTTGTTTTTCTATAATTTGTTCAATCATTTCACTTTCGGCTATACCATCTGTATCTACTGCACTTATAGTTCCTACTATACTACCTATAGGAGCATCTTCATTTAGAGAAAAATAGTACACACCATCTTCAGGTCCACTTCGACGAATTTCTTTGTCTCTGTCATTTGGAGAAGACATAATCCAATAAGGTGGATTGTCGTTTACATCAAGCACATCAACTTTGATTACCGTAGTACTACTTAAGCTTGGTTCTCCATGATCTTTAGCTTCAACTACCAGTTCCATTTGGTTAACTTTTTCTCTGTCTATAAAACCCACTCTCCGTATTACTCCTGTATTTTCATCAATCTTGAATGCATCAATTTCACCTGATAAAAAACTGTAACTAACTTTACTATTCACTCCCTCATCTAGATCATTTACACTTACTCGACCGATTTCAACTGATGACTGATCATCAAACATATTTTTTATTGAATTCACTGCTATCGAAGGTGTCTCAAACACACTGAATTGATAATTACGACTGGTGAATTTGGGGATGTTGTCATTCACATCTAATACTTTATAGCTACCGTAGTACTTCCAGTTAATCGGTTTGACTGAATCAATTTTCCAATATTTTGGTATCCATTTAGTGCATAACTTACTTTCACCTGATCGACACAAATTACTTTTACGAAAATCCATGGTTCTGCTTCTCGATCAATCGATTTTAGTGATGACATTTTATAAAATAATAATGGTGAATCAAAATGAGTAGTAGATAATCCATAAGAATCTGAACGATCAGCATAGTTTAAATTAGACACTTTTTCTAACAAAAACCTTGTATCATTAGTTTCACAATGAATTTCTAACAAATTTGAGATAGCCCCACTATTGCTCTCAATAAAATCACCATCTTCTACAGTTAAATGTGCAATTGTTAATGGTTCATTTTGATTTTCTTGTAAGCAACCTACAATTTTACCTTTCAAATTATTATGAAATTCAGATTCAGTTTGAAATGGTTGTGTATATTGTACAGATATTACAGGTTCATTATCATTAATATTCTCAACTAAAATCAATAGTTCAATACTTCCCGTTAATGAAGGTGATCCAGCATCTACAGCTTCTACAACCAGTTTTATTAAACGACCACTGTGTTCTCTATTTAAATCAGACCAACTAGCTCCATGACGATCATCTGCATCCATTTTCTTAGCAACTTCAAGATCGCTGTACCATTGTTAGTTTCCAAGTCAAACCATTGCAGTGAGATTGTATTTTGATCACCATTTAACGACTCTTTGAGGCGATAGGTGATCTGGCCATTTAAATCTTTATCTGGATCATCAGCTATTATTGTTACAATCGGAGTACCAGGTGTTTGGGTTTCCGGGATTTTCAAAAATTCCTGAGTAGCACCATTACCATACAAATCTGATGTCGATATAAATGTTGGAAAGTGAAAAATTGGTTTTCTAAACTTTGGAATGTTGTCATTGATGTCTGTTACCACTAAGTGGATAGTCTGTGTACCTGTTCTTTTCGGGTTACCCCCATCAATGGCTAGTAAGTGAAACCAATATTCATCTTGTTTCTCTCTGTCAAGTAAACCGACAATGCGTAAGAGTGGAACTGGGAGACTGTTACCTATTTTGTTTTCATTATCATTATTCACAATCAGGTTAAAGAGTGACTTATCTATTTCGTGACCTGAAACGGTGGTCAGTCGATATGTTTTGACTCCATTCTCTGGTAGGTCTATGTCATGGGCTTTGGGTAGTTCGAGAGTAGTTGGGTTTCCTGAAGTTGGTTTATTGTTGGAATGTAAAATTTGAGGATGAATCGCAGCGCTGCTGCTAACCATATCAAAACTTTCTATATTCTCTGGTATTCGTAGCTCTGTTGTATCTCTCTTGGTAAATATAGGACTATTGTCATTCCTATCTAAAATACGGAGAGTCAATTTTCCATATGATGGTTCATGTCGTTTGCCATGTAAAATAATTAAGGGAATATCACAAAAAGGCATTTGAGATTCGGACTGAGTTTCCCGTGCTCCACACAGTTCCTCACGATCTGGACCATTTTGCCCATCTTTAACAACAAGTTGAACAGAATTATCAAATCTATGCCGACGTATTTCCAAATTATTTATTCCAGGACTTGATGGATTTCCAATTGCAAAATAATGAGATTTGGATTCGCCACTATTGAGTGTAGGAAATCTATGCTCTAAGTTGTCTATGATTATTGTCCCAGGTCGAGCATCCTCCATAACATCGACCACGGCAGAATTCGCTATGGTTTCCCTTAAATTTGAACTTGAAACGCATAACAGAAGCAATAAAAACATTGAGTTGAATGAAATCTGTAAAATAAAGTAAACAAAGGGAAATTATATGATTCAACATATCCTAAAATCCCATAAGGCTAACAGATTCAATACTTTCATTAACTTATAAAACCAAACTGAATATATACTGTACTTTATGTAATATACACACTTATAACTTTGAGAGAGATTGAAAAATCACTACACTATCATATTACCATCAGCTTTTATCGATGTCGATATAAGACCTAAGATAGAAATAAGGTGTACCATATGTATTCACAAACATTTGTATGGTTATATAGGATGATATATTTTGTCATTTCCTTATGATATAAAGACAGGAGTAACAAGTGAATTGAGTTAGGAATAAATGAGTACTTATTTCATTTTTAGTTCACCTACCTTCTATCCCCTTGTTTCTCCTACATTTTAATTAAATTATATACTGAATTGTTGAACATTTAATTTGAAATTTCCGGTTTCTGATGTTCAAAACAGCAACTGATCAGTCTCTATTATCATTCATGCATTTTGAATACATCAATATAACCTTCAATCACAATTTCTTATTATAATCCGTGTATGGCTGTCAATGGAACCCAGGAAGCACATTTTTAAAAACGTTTTGTGTTATCAATTATACTATTTAGGCATGAATTTCATAAACAATTTCTTCATTCACTTCTTAAACGGTCTATTCACATTTACTTGAGAAAATAACTTTATACTCTCAGGATTTATAAAACTATGGTGAGGAATTTCACAAGATGAAAAGTGTATATACTGTTGTACTTTTATGATTATCAAATAACTGAATACGGGTAACTCAAAATAATCAGTAAGGGGATCTGTGGAGATTGTAGTATTTTAACAGTTGAATTCACTAATCGATCAAAGCTGGACCACCATTGAAAATCTAGAAGAACTGGACGGCAGTTTCGTCCTAGCACAATCTCCACAAGTTTCCTTACGGACAATAATCATGTGCTCTCTAGTGACTAGTTTCAAGATAGATTTCCTGGAGTTCTAGCGACAAACCGTGACCAATGGAGTCCAATCCGTACCGAGTGTGAGACAGTTATCCACCTCAGGCAATGGATGAAGGATCGCGCAAGGTCTTGGATTGATTGCAGTTAGACATTAACACTGTCGGATGGTTGTTCAGTGGTTTGGAAACCGAAGGTTGTAAGTTTGAGTCCCGCGTGCGGATCGTGGATGAGCACTGTTGAAGAGTTCCATACTAGGACGAAACGGACGTCCAGTGGTGGTCTAACTTAGATCGACTCGTGAATTCAACTGTTAAGGTCAAATTAAATACAAATTTTATTACCGAATGATCAAAGCTACGTAATACTAATGAATAATAATAATCACTGAATCCTTACATTTCTCCACATTTAAATAATATCATTTTTAGAGTGAATGAATGCATTTTATTTCAGGTTAGTTTTTGTACAGACACAGGCACACACTAGAAATTTAAAAATATATGAACAGTAAAGTACACTCAATTTATTACCAATTTTATTACAAATCATGTACTTTGAGTGAATAATGAAAATACTGGTAGTATCAATCATTACTGCTACTATTAACTGACAAAGCGTATATTTCAAAGGACGTAAAATCTTTACATACAACAGCAATAGTTGGTCAATATGAACTCTTTTGTTATTTTACGTTTAAGGAGACTATTGCCATCAGGGGCATTCAGTTTAATATTTGTATATAGGACGTTATGACAAATCTATTTTTCTTTGCTTTAGTAAATATGCTTACAATGAAATAATGTTATCTACTATACCACCTTGTTTGTATCTATCAATTGATTTAAATTTATCAAGTTCATTTTATCGTAATCATATTGTCGAATGTAGAAATCACTTGTTTTCTATGACTATTTAAAACTGTAAACTCAGCTCATTTATACTGACTCTCAGTATATCAATATTCATTAATCTCAACTGTTAAGTTTGATGTGATAGTTTATAACGTCCCTTTTTCAAAATCTTATGCTCCATTCCGAAGAAATAATATGAAAAACAATTGTGCTTTCAATTTGTTATTCATATCCTCTCCCACAGTATTGAGCAATTTTTCACTCCTCACTTTCACATCTGTCGCACAATAATATTCTAATAATTTTAAAAAGTGATATAATCGATTATTGTTATTCTAAAATGTGCATAAAGGCTAATAATAATTAGTACAGTAATTCCCTTTTTAATACCAATGAAGTTTGGTAACCTGGTTAGCGATTTTTTAGCGAGTTAGTTTTCTACAGGATGGGGTCGTTGACCCTATACCCAACCCTCCTCTTTTATACGGGCTTGGGACCATCAGTAACGTCAGAGGGGCTCCAGGTGGAGACCAAAGAACATATTATACCGAGAAATGGAGACAGATATGAGAAGAATAACCAACAGTTGGATAGAACTGAAAAGGAATGCCCAGGACTGTGTGGGTTAGAGAATGCTGGTCGGCGACCTATGCCGGTTACGGGTAACAGGCGTAAGTAGGTAAGTAAGTAGATTAGATTCAAGTTGAAATATGGTTACAATCAAATATAATTCATTTCTCAGTACAATATATCTTTATACATTTAAACGTAAGAAAGCGTGTAACTAGACGTATTTAGAATAGAATTCATTAACGCTTAAATCAATCACAAATTTTTAAAAATATATATGGTCATACTGTTAAAATTTAGCATTAAGAGTTAAGAGGAAAAGCCACAATCGTTTTAATGTCAGCCTGTTTCATAGATTCATATCAGTTTCATTAACTAAAGTGCATTAAACTTTTGTTTTGATTTCAACTATTCATTTGAAATTAAGGTTTTTCACTGATTATGAGAACACTTAAATTAAGATGGATTTACTATCATCTACAAATTATGTTATTCTTACTTTCTTCATAATTCTGAGTTAGACAAATTATTTATGGTTATTTATAGTTGAGTTTAAAAAATTTATCATATTGTGACATTCTTTTTCTCTGAATAATTCGGTAGTGATACTTCATTTCAGAACTATAAATAACACTGATATCGTGATGCACTGAGTTTGATTAACTATTTAGAAATGCGTAACAATAATTCAAAGTGTCATAGAAACTATCAAAATCAGTTGCGTAATCATATATACATATAACACTAAAGAGTTATTTTGTTTTATTTTACAGGAAAGTAGGAATGATTATTCAGAGAACAGATCCCAAAAACTTTAGATTGTGTTGAGTATAATGCTCAGTTATCTCTATTTTCTTCCTATTGCTTTTCCTGGTTGTCATCTAGACAATGAGTAATTGTTTCCAAATTACTTGTGCAAATAATGAATACGTTCAAATTTAATTTTATACCGGTATTTTCACTATTCTCAGTGAAACTTTGAATTTAAGTACACATTTGTGAACTTCTTCGAAGATGCATATACTCTACATATTTTTTTACAAAACAATTAAACGTTCAATAACCAACGATGTTTGAATCTTCAAAATACTTCAAAATTTCTAAGTGTATACGACAATAAATACAAACTAAAATAGTCATATTGCATTTTTGTAAATTTAGTCAAAAATACTATCAAACACGCCAACAAACCTTTAATCAACTACTATTATCAATATTGTCGTCATCTTTGCTATTCTTTTACTGTATAAGACAATGGAGTTATTTTTTTCTTTCTATTTTCATTTTTAGTGTATACTAAAACTTAGAAACGGCAAATTGACAGGGACTTGGAAGAAAGAAAATAACTATGGAAACGCAAAATAACTTTGAGCAGTTTCAGTTAACTAATATATATATATATATATATATATATATATATATATATATATATATATATATATAGAGAGAGAGAGAGAGAGAGAGAGAGAGCAAAAATTAAGACGATGTTTTTAAAATAATATTACCGAAAAATATATTTCTCCATACAGTACAGTCCTATTCGCAATCTCACCATACAGTTCAACCTATAGACATACAGGTCGTAAGCAAATATACACAAGAGACAGTATTATTATTATGTTTTTTTTACATATATATGTTTTCCTATTTCTCGTCGATAAATTTCAGAATGTCAATGAATAGTTTAAGAAATGTCTATGCTTATGAGTCATTCATTTAGGGTAGCACAAGAATAATTCAATGTGAATCTTATCAGAATAATAAAGGATAGAAGGAAAAGGTACACTACATATAAAAGAACAGGAAATGATATTCTTCACAAACAATACAACTAATTAATGTAAGAGGTTTTTATTGTTTGGATATATTTAACAATGTTGTTACTTTTACATTATTGTTAGAATTTTTAATAGTTTATTGACATATCAACAACTTGATATAATGATGCTTAAATAGTTGAAGTCATGAGTCAATTGAAGCTAGACCACCATGGAAAACCTAGAAGCACTGAACTGTCGTTTTGTCCTATTGTGGGACTCCTCAACAGCGCATATCCACGATCCCACCTCGCGGAATTCGGACCCAGGACCTATCAGTCTCGCACACGAGCGCTTAACATCTAGACTACTGAGCCGGCATCCAACAGTGTTCATGTCCAACTTCAACTAATCCACCAAATTGAGTGACACATCCACCATTGTCATCAGTGAGTTACTATCTAACAACAGACCTGGTTGAACTCCACTGATCAGGGCTTCTCAATAGAACTCCAGGATATACCTCTTGAAACCAGTCATTAGTGAGCATATGTTGACTAGTATCAGAAGGGGTTTTGTGAAGATTGCCGTAATTTCCATAGTTCAGTGCTTCTAGGTTTTCCATGGTTGTCTAGCTTCAACTGACTGATTAATTCAACTATTAACTTACTACAATCTCCACAAAACCCCTTCTGATGCTTAAATAACCAATATTATTGGATGTGAGACTGAATAAAGCTTTTTTGGATGGGATAAAACAACGAATAAACATTTCTCTTTAGTGTATATGATGTATTCATTCATTGTGTTCATATTTATGTGATTCAATGAAATTAACATAAAATTTGTAAAAAAAAAAGAAATGA